TAGGCACGGTGGCACACGCCTACAATGCCAGCTACTCAGAAGGCTGAAGTGGAAGGATCACCTGAGCCCAAGAGTTTAAGACCAGCCTGGGCAACATAATGAGACCCCATCTCAAAAAAAAAAGGAAAGTCATATATTATTTTTCACAATGGGGATTTAAGCGAGAAATATCAACATCCTCAAGGTTGACCAGATGGGCAATCCTGTACTAACAAATCCACTGAGTTGAGTTAATACAGAAAATGTCAGCTAGCTCACCACTAAGAGACTAGTAATGTCTGTGGCCCAGGCTCTTCGAAAGAAGAGATCAAGCCACTCCTCTTTCTGGTAGGTATGTCTCCTCTCACAGAGCAGACTGACTTTAGAAGCAGCTTTCAAAGACAATGTTTAGGTCAAGTCAATCAGCATAAATACTCTTCCTGGTTGGGTGACAGCTCTCATTGTGACTTTATATAAGAAAAGCCAATGGTCTCGTCTTGCTCTTCAAGAATGGAACAGTCACAGCTGGGCGCTATGACTCTTAACTGTAATCTCAGCAGTTTGGGAGGCTGAGGTGGGAGGATTGCTTGAGCCCAGGAGTTCAAGACCAGCCTGGGCAACATAGTGAGACCCCATCTCTACAAGAAAAAACAAAAAAAAAATTAGGCCGGCATCGTAGCACCCACCTGTAGTCTCAGGTACCCGGGAGACTGAGGTGGGAGGATAGCTTGAGCCCGGGAGTTCAAGGTTACAGTGAGCTATGATTGCACCACTGCACTCCAGCCTGGTCAACACAGCAAGACCCTGACTTTTAAAAAAAAAAAAAAACAGAATGGAACAATCTTAACCCTAAAATAATAACCTGTTGCCACTAACACCACATGATACCATATTTGAAAGATTTATCCAGGTCCTGAGCTTCACCGGTAACAAGGCTGGCATCTATTCTCTTCTCCCAAAGACATTGCTTTCTCCTTTACAATAAATAAACAGAGTAAAATTATGTCTTCAACCTTAAGTCTGAAAAGAAAAGCTAAAAGCAAACAAATGCAAAGCAAGCAACTATATAAGGATGAAGAGACAAGAGAGTAGAATGGAGGAGAGAACAGGAGTAGGAGAAAGACAAGGGGAAGGAGGAGGGGGAGGAACAGTGAACTTGATAAGTTTGCTATTTCCAAAGCCATGTTTACTGCAGTAAGATAATGAAGGAGGAAAAACATTTTCATTTTCTTTTCTGACAGCTTGAGCATAAATGATTGCTGCAATAATATCAGAAAGTATTGGACATTTTGAAGAGTCTTGCTAGTGAGAAGCCAGCATTCCAGCCAATTTGAAGCACTGGCCCCAAGGTGCCCTAGAGAGTTTGTTTTTCAAATGCAGGAATGTCAACTGCTGGACTAAAAGTGATGTATACTGTCTAGTGGACAGCATGCTGGCCAGACACCAAATCTGGAATGTCTCTCCCTGTACTCAGTTGTTCTTTACGGCCACTGCCGTTCCCACAAATGAGAGTTTTGTCCAAAGCCATCCAAAAGAGGGGGTAGTGTTTAAGATCCATCAACACCAAATAACATTGAGTTCTGACTTGTCACCTCTACAGATTCTTCAAAAAGCTGATTTGAATCCAACACTTGTTGGAGCTAGTCAGGTCTCTTCTTAAGGAAGTTGATTACTTCTAGTTCTAATCCAGTTAAGGTCCTGCCTGAAGGAGGCCTAAAAAGTGCCAGGAATAAAAGCAGTCAAGTCTCATAATTTTATGTGCTTTTAAATAAGATGTCATCAAGTACATAAAACAACATAACCATTGTAATTTAATCACCTGCTTATGAAAAAGACAGCATTCTCAATAGAAGAATTGATAAGGCAAATACTTCGCCCGTACGTATTTTTAAAATGTGTCTCTGGCATCAAATGAACTCTACCGAGACTCCCTGTATTATGCCAAAAAGCTACTGGCCAACATCTGAAACTGACTTGCAAGCAGCAACACTAATATGGATCATGAAGCAGCATTACTGTCACCTGTGCCCTTCAATATGGTGACATCCACTCTACCTTAACAATCAGAGTTTTATCCTGCACATTTTTTTCCATAAGATCCCTATGGACTTCTCCATGGAAAAAAAGATCCCAAGAATTTTTCTAAGATTTGGAAAAACTCCTGTAATTTGTACGAGGATAATGAGAGAGACATCAAACACACACAAGAAATTCACACATCCCAGCTTTCCTCTGTATTCCACTTTGGAAACCAACAGCCTACGAAGATAAAATGGAAACAGCACATGCATATCTTGAGTGTGTGCACATCATCAGAGTCATAAGCAATAAGTAAACAGGAGGTGTCACGGGGAGGGAAACACCATGAATGCTGCCAGTTCAGAACACACTGTCAAGAGGTATGCTTCAACAGTGAGGTAGAAGGGGAAAACGAGCATGAGTCGCTAGAACAGCAATTTCCCTATCCTTTCTCTCCACTGTTACTAAGCAATGTCCTATTGGAACCGAAGTCCCTTTCTAAGTCTTTGATGGACTTCCTGATTAATAAGCATTACAATCTGGTGTTTATTCTTTTGTGAAGGTGGAGCAGTTGAAATATCCTAACACACATATTCAACCAACACCCCTCTCCAATTATTTTGTTGTTCTTCACATTAAAAGTTGGCTCTACTGAGAAGAGACTGAATGGAAAGCCCATATACAAAAAATAGAAGCATAACAGACACATAAAATTTGTGATGTCACAATCCATGTCTATGCACAGACATAGGCCATTTGACCTGATAACTAGCAAATAACAAACAAGGACTCTGTGGTCTCTTTATACATTCTCTGATATTTACATATTGTTATTTCTACCACAAAGAAAAACAAAAAAAGTATGATCAGAGAATACAAGAATAGACAGACAATCCACAGGTAAGCACTAAGAGTAAAATTTACTGAAAGAAGTTATTTTTTCCAATAATAATTTATCAGGAAAATCTTTCTTTGAAAAGTAAATTATATGTGATCACTAACCCTAAGCAAACAGCTAAGAAAGGAAGGGAAAAATGAGTAGCACATGCAGTTCCAAGCTGAACTGACAAAATAATAACGCTTTAAAAAATGAGGTAGTGCACTCTCTTCCTGAAATCATTACAGTCTGATAACTTAAAAGTAGAATTAATGGCGATTTGATGCTATACAACACTGTATAAACTCAAAATTGGCAATAGAGGCTCAGATACACTAAACAGTCAAATAATATTTCTAAAATCCCTGTCTTCTTATTTTATTCGTTCTCAAAATAACTGACTGAATGACACACACTAGTTGCTGCATATTTAGCTCATTTCTAATGAAGACAACTACTAGGTGTCCGATCCACTCAGTCCTTAATCTTTTAAAGGGAAACAGAGAGGGAATACAATTGTTTAGCCAAACAGAAATAGCTTACTACTATAATCTTCCAACCAAAATACTAACTCTTCACATCGCAGACACCCATAAAATAGAATTCAGAATTCTCACAGCTTGCATATTACAATATTCAGTCTTACCAAACAATACAAAATATGACTTCTTTAAAACCACCCAACTGCCCCCAAAATATTTCTTTCCAAAACCAACTCTAAATAGAATAGATAAGTATCCAGTCATTTCAATCAACTTAAAATACAATGCTAATAATTTAAATGCAATGGGATTATTTTCCTGACTTATGCAGTTGGAATGCTTTAAGACTAATACAGACAACTGAGTCCTGAGTTATCCTTCCTATCATACTGTTTTCTCTCAGGCTCATATAAATGTATTCAAAGGTACACAATGTAGTACTGTTCACCAAGGCTAAAGAATGAAACAGTTAGCATTGTGTCGGGATGCCCATGCATCTTCCCATTAAAGCCACAGCAATATTCCTATGGATGGCTACATGGATGAAAAGTTTTGATTTAGTGCAGGTTAAAGTAGCACATAGTCTTTAATCTTTATTCATAAACAGCTCTGATCCTCTTGCTGAAAAATAAATAAATGCAAGCATCCTGAACTCTTCAATGGGCTCTCTCTAATTAAAACCTGTAACAATTTTGGGGTGTTTCAAAGCACGACTTCCTTTTCTACCACTTGTGGTAAAAAAGAAAGTGACTAAAGAAACCTTGCCCAATAAGCACTCCAGATAATATACTTTAAAAAATCATCTATACAATGCAATAAAAATGATTGGTGCAGAAGAATGCTGCATCCCTAATTTTAGTAAGATTGTTGATGATAGCCTACGCAACCACTCGAAAGCACACGAAATATTCAAATGCATCTTTATTATGGTTGCTCAGTGTCTAAAAGTTTGTTGCCAATAGCATTGCTATAGAATCTATAAAGCTGTCAAATCTATTTGTGGCCAAAAAAAAAAAAAAAAAAAACAACTCTGGAAGATAAATATTATTTAATGATTTACATATGGCACTAGAATATAAATACCCGTAAATACCTCAAATCATAAAAATACCAGAAAGTAAAAAATAATTTAGGCTAAGACAAAAAAGACTAGAATTGTTTAGTCAAGAGGAAAATTATTAAACCACATACATTTACACAGACATATTCTCTCTTGCCACAGAACTGCAAAGTGGTCTATTTTTATTTCTGAAATGTGATTCGCTTATGTAATTATTATAACCTAAATGTTTAGAGGAGAGTATAAGAAAAAGCTTCTAAAATTATTATGGATGCTATTAAATCATGTGTGTAACAACCAAAATATCTGGAATGCCCAAACTTGCTGTTATTGCTCATGACAGAATAATCTATGCAAAACCAGCAGGGAACATGTGAGGCCTCATTTACTTCACTGTGTTTCTCCACGTATGCATCACTTGAGAATATCAGATCACTTTCACGTACATAGTACGTAATCACTGATGATTTGGGGAATCCACAAGGCCACAAAGTTGACACATATTCTGATCTAGAGGGAAAAAATCGAGAAAGCCAGAAGTTTCCTGTTTTCCAAGAAACTGAAGACATGAAGACACGCTTACCTTTCTGTACACCAGCATGTTGGGTGATTCATCGGCCACCCCGTTGCTGGTCTGCCCATAATTATTCCCCTGCGCCATGTCACCCAAAACTTGGTCCACTCTCAGATACAAGAATTATCAGTCTGCCCTGCAAAGGGTTAGAGAGACTTCTGTGAGATCCCAGTGGTAGCGCTTAAGGGACTCCCCTGATTCATCATCATTCACAGCACCCACCCCACATGGAGTGTTCTTACAAACTGGGGCTGGCTGGAGAAAGTGACACAGGACATGGATTTTTTAAAAAATGAGTCTACACCTACAATACCCTCAAGGAATTGTAAGAAACTACAGTCTTCCGGGTAGAAATATCATTTGGTTATCATTGTAGCTGACTTCATTTTCTGGATACTCATTTTGAGAAGTGTTGGATGCTCACCTTAAACACTCATGGTTAGCATTTCCCTAGTACACAGAGTTCTTTTCTCTCCCAATACTTGCATCTGCACTTGCTGATGTTTTACCAAAAAGGCAGAAAGACAACACAACACCGGGGAATGGGGGTGGGGGGCAGGGTAGCACACTTTCTTCCAGGTATCTGTCTAGCGTCCCCACATGCAGCACATCGGAGAGGCCCATTCCCGGAGTCCTTCTCCAGCGCATGGGTTTCCTCTCTATTCCCCCGGTCTCCCACACAGACCCAGAGTATATGCTTCGCCTACTTCCACCTGACTGCGCTGCCAGCCACCGGCTGCTCTCCTTTCTCCCCACTTCGATTCGGAAGTCAGGAGGTAATCCTGCCTAATTTTTGCAAGAAGACACCAGAATTCGTCCCGGCAACGAGAACGAGCGAGCGGGAGGTCAAGCCTGCAGGCAATTACCTGGGGCACCGTGGGTAAATGCCTAAGTGCAGAAGCCTCCAGAGCCACCAGCCGAAGCGCAGAGAAGACAAGCAAGCCCCAGCTCCCCCGGCTCCCTCTCCCGGCAGCAGCAAATGGCAGGCGCGCCTGTGCCCCGCGCCGCGGCGGCCGCCGGAGCCGGGCGGCAGTTTCAGCACCGCGGACCGCGGGGTGCGCGCGGCGCCCGCGAGCCCTGCCCCGGCGCGGGGGTCCCGGGGGCGGCCGCCCTGCGCCCGCGGACTCTCCCGCTGCGCAGAGCGAGGGCTGGGTGCGGGCCGGGGGCCGGGAGGGCTCTGGGGGGCGCTGCCTCCTCTCCGCCCGCCTCCCCTATTTACCTCCTGCGCCAAGGTCACGGCCCCGCGGCGTCTCCCCTCCCGGGCGGGCTGGGTGCGGGCGGTGTCAGCTGGCGGCGAGCGGAGCAGCGAGGCAGGGCAGCTTCATCACACTCGCGGCGGATGCGGATTCCGCGCCGCCCCGGCTCCCGCCGCTCGGGCGACCGCCACCCTCGCCTCGCCTGGCCTCGCCGCTGCCCGTGCACAGGCGGCCCCGGCAGCCGCCACTCGCGCCCGCTCCCCTGGGCCGCCTCGCCGGCTCGCTCCCTCCTCCGCTTCTTCTCTCGGGGACTGGGACCCGCCGAGCGCGCGCGGGAGTCGAGACGCCCGGCCCGTGCGCGCGACTGGGAGGAGGGAGGAGGGACGGTCACGTGGGACAGGGGCGTCCGAAGGTGCCGGCTCGGATGGGCTCGGCTCGGCCGCCGCCACGCCGCCCGGGCCTCCCCGGCCTCCCCGCCCTCGCGCCCCGCGGGAGGCTGCAGTCCTGCCCCCGGCGCGGCCCGCGCTTCCGCACACCCCGCCCGCCCGCGCGTGTGTACGTGCGCCGGAGGCCTGGAGAGACCGGAGTTTAACGCCCAGTGTAAGCCGGAAAGGGAGGAAGGCTTCGCGATGGAAGGGTGGGTGGTGGGCGGGTGGGTGATCGAGTGAACGGATGGACGGATGGATGGCTGGATGGGTGGATGGAGCCCCGTGAAGCCCGAGGTTTCATCACGTGCCTAACGACTCCGCTGAAAGTCCTAGAGAAGCAGATAATTTATTATTATTGTTATTATTGTTATTATTATGCTCAAATAACAGAGTGGAGAGATACCGAGACATCCCAGTAGTGAAGGAAATGGCTAGGACCAAATGAATCATTCATCCCCGCTTGCCTGCGGCTTTCACAGCTTCTTCCTAAGTTGGAGAAATGGGAACCAATTTGAAAGCTGCCAGCCGGGGGTGAAAAGGGGTGAAAACCTTGCCACTTGTGAAAATGAAGGAACATGCCCAAGGCCTGGCTTCTCCCTTTAACACAAGATGCTCAGAGGAACTTTCCTCTTCCTCACTGCCCTTGTCCACTAGCAGTTTTCAAAGAGGGTCTGAGGGGCTGATCCTCCTTCATATTGCTGCCACACATTCTTCTGCAAGGATTCAAACGACATGAAGAAGACACATCACTTTTGCGTTGGTGGTAGTAAAGCAAGCAACCTGTGTCTCTGGCTTCCAGGGGAAGAGCTGGGCAGCTATAAATCTAGTTTTCCTTCCTCTGCTGGGCTAGGTGTGGAGGAGGGGGAGGGACAGAGGGAAAGGATAATCAAGGTCAGCCCTTCCTGACCCCCTAGTCTAGGCAGATCAGCACTGCTACTGAAACGGGGCCGTGTGGACCAGTGTATTTCCCCAGCCCCAAGCAGGTCTTGTCAGGTTTCACTCAAGGAGCAAATATTTCTCTAATCTCCTGTTCCAAGTACTGCAGGAGAAATACTGTCCCAAACTACACACACTCTGGTTTGACCTGTCTCCCACTGTATACAAAGATGTGTAAACTCCCCACATCTTTCCACTGTATCCTCTGGAACTTAGAATCTTCTTCAGCAAAATTATCTTTGTTTTCGGCGTCTCTAAATATTTATTTAACATTCTTGTTCTCCCCAAATTCTACTTCTCCTCCTTTTAGCCCCTCTCTTCCTTTTTGCTCAGTCTACTCCTGAGAAGATGTGACTTGAGTGACTTGAATTAATAAATTTGCAAATACTACTGGGCATGCTCACTCAGTTTGACCATTTTCCTCTTAAGAGAGAACCACCTGAAGGAAGCAGGCTTTCTCCTTCTTTGCATCTCTGGGTAAAGTTTCCACCCTCATAGAAATCTGTACCCAAGCACAGCACTGATGGATCATTCTCAACAGCAAACTAACAGAATAGAGCCAATTACACACACACAAACACATATATATATATCTCGACACACTTTCCACTTATTGCCACCTTACTTTCCTGCTTCCCTTTATGCCAAAATCTTTCTTTCCATTCCATCTTGAACCTGTTCCATTTTGTTAAAAAACTTCCATGGTGCTAAGCTGATGGTCAATTCTCAGCTGTCATAAAAATTGACTTTTCGGCATAAATAACCCTGGACACCACTCTCTATTATTTCTCTTTCTATATTGCTGGCTGCTTTTACTCACCCTTATTGCTTGTTCTTCTTTATCTTTTTGACCCCCAAATTCTGAAATGTCTCAGATATCTCATCGAGCCTCTTCTCTCAATTTACATGCACATTACCTAAAGTGACCTGATTCAGGCTCATACATTTCAGTGTTTCATTACTTCACACTAATAACTTCCAAATGTATATTTTTAACCTGGATCTATCCTCTAAAATCCAGTCTGTCAAGTGCTCACTTTACATCTCCACTTGAATATCTTATTTATGTCTGATTCAGCTTTCAGTTAACAAAGATATTGCCACTGCCTTGTATCATAGGCATAGTATAGTTGCCAGGGCATAGTAGATGCACAATAAACCTACATTAATGACATGAATGGATGTATCTAGTAAGAGTAGTATGATGCATTCTTTTGTTATTTTTAATTGTTTAGTTGTTTGTTTGTTTGTTTTTTGAGATAGAGTCTTGCCCTGTGACCCAGGCTGGTGTGATCTTGGCTCACTGCAACCTCCACCTCCAGATTTAAGTGATTCTCCTGCCTCAGCCTCCTGAGTAGCTGGGATTACAGGTGTGTGCCACCATGCCTGGCCAATTTTTGTACTTTTAATAGAGACAGCGTCTCACCATTTTGGCCAGGCTGACCTCTTGAATTCCTGACCTCAGGTGATCCACCCACCTTGGCCTCCCAAAGTGCTGGGATTACAGGCATGAGCCACCACATCCAGCCATGTATTTTGTAATGGATTTTTACATTACCTTATTTAATTCTTACTAATGATCCTATAGAGGTAGGTATAATAGTTACCTCCTTTACATCAACACAATAGGGAAGGAGAGGATCAGAAAGGTTGGGTTAACTTCCTAGTACAACCAACATAGCCAGGAAGTGGCACTGGTGGTTTGTACTCTACCAACTTCATTAGCTGGAACAAAGTTTCTCAGGATCCTCTTGCCCGTATGCATGTGAGTACCGTCGTCCCAGAGAGGAATTTGTGCAAGATTTGGTAAACAGAGTGAAACAGTCTCTATTCCTCTCTCAAGATCTCTGTATTTGCTGTGATAATACATGCAGAGACCTGGAAGGTTCTGGCATATCCTGGCTCTCCCCAGCTTCACACCCAATCTTCCCAATTTCCAGCACAGCTGATCAACAGTAGCCACACACTCATCACAAGGGCCTTAACATGGATCCAAACAGGCAGCAGCCAGGCAGATAAAAGCTTTTCACTGAGTATTCTTTTAGCTTTCTCTCAGTGTGCCCCTCCTGGATGCAGTGGGCCTTCCAGATTCCCCTGAAAGCTCTGATTTGCCCATCCACACAAGGACCTCAGGGAATCCCATAGTGACTTTTCTCAGATCTGTGAATTCCTTCTTCTGGAAAATAACTTTCTCAACAATGGTGTAAGTTCTTACAATACATCCCTTATTCCATTATGTTCAGAATGGTTCCACTTTTCTGAAAGAGTGGCTGGCAGGGCTCAAATCCAAGTCTTCTGGGTTCTTTTCACTATTCCAGGAGAAATCCAACTTAGGTAGAGAAGATCTTGAAACAAACAGCTACATGTAAGTGAAAAACTGAATGACAGTATATGAGCTACTGAAGGAGAGATTGACATTCAAATCTGGCTCTTCAAGGACAAGCAGAATATCTACTATATGAAGGGTGAAGGAGTTTCTATTCCAATGCAAAGGCAGGAAATGCTGAAACCCACTGGGAAAATTACTAGATATAAAAATATCATGTATTGAATTTCTGCTATCTCTAACCATATTAAAAATAATCTTACCATAGCTGACAAAATTTACCCTATAAGGTATGTAAAGATACCACTGTCCTAGTTAGGAAACCTGGCCATGGTCACATACCTTCTAATATCAAAGCCTTGACTCAAATATGCCTGTGTGTGTGACTGTAAAGCCCTGTGAAAAATTATGCACAAATGCCTCCTAGCAACAGTATGAGTTTAAAAAAAGCTAGCGTTCCCCCATCAAGGTGCCCCTTATTCTGTTCTCTCCCTCATCTTCCATCCCTCCACACACCTACCTCTCACTGTGCTCTCTGGGCAGTTATGACTCAAGATTGTTTGTGGCTAATTACTGTTGCCAAGCAAATATCAAGAAGGAAGATTCAAGAAATTGCGTATTTCACAATTTTCCACTGTTATTTGTTAAGCCTCATTAGACAACTCAGAATTTGTGTTACTGCGTATTGGAAACAAAATTATGTCTATCACCTTAATGTTTTGATGACTGATGTTTTTCAAATATAAACAGTGAATTAGACTAGACCATCTTCAAAAAAATCCATCATAAAATTTAATGTGTTCTCTTTTGTGCTTGCTTTCTAGATATTGCGGATCTTTATGTTGTAAACAAGAAAAAAAAGAAAGTATGGATATTGTGGAGTGGTTTTTTTTGTTTTGTTTTGTTTTGTTTCTTTCTTTAAAAACCATGTGCATATGTGATTCCCAATCATTATATCCACAGCATTTTACTATTTTTCTTTTAAGCCTGTATTTTATGAATATTTTTGTCAAACAAATTAAATGGTAATAATACAGAACTTCAAAACAGCAGATAAAAAACCTGTTACATCATCAAGGTAATGAATTGCAGCCCAAATAAAGACATTTAAAGTTTTTTTTAGCTTCAGTTCTTTTTTTAACCTTGAGAAAAATAGCAATTTTTAACATTTTTTTTTGAAATTCAGGAAATAGTGTCTATTTTTACAAATCATTATGAGTACAGGAATTCCAAGTCTATTGATACAGACTTGCTTTTTCCTTCCTTTTTTCATTTAACAAAAACTTAGTCATGTATTTATTGTCTATGAAGCCTTCTCAGGTTTCTATGAAGATCATAAAGAAATAAAACAGGTGAGTTTTGTCCTCAAGGAGCTCCCAGTCTCATTCAGAAAATAAGAGTCTTTCCTTCCTTTCACAGCTCACGTGCAGTTCCACCAACAAGTCCCATTGGATCTACATAAAAACTGTATCCAGGTTGGGCATGGCTGACACCTGCAATCCCAACACTGTGAGGCCAGGGCAGGCAGATCACAAGGTCAGGAGATGGAGACTATCCTAGCCAACATGGCGAAACCCCGTCTCTACTAAACTACAAAAAATTAGCCGGGCGTGGTGGCATGCACCTGTAGTCCCAGCTACTCAGTAGGCTGAGGCAGGGGAATCGCTTGA